GTGATGCCAAAAATCCTCCATGATTATTTCAAGGGCTACTATTGACGAATTCAAATTAGCTTATGGGCTCCTTTTATTTTGTGTCGTTTTTTTATGATATTACAGATATTATGTTGCTTATTAGGAATCTGTAGCTGTAATCTCATTAGAGAATAAAGGAATTATTTTTAATTCTTCCAGAAATGCATACATATGTAAGTATACAGGCTTCCTCCCTTACTGTATTGATAGTTATTTTTTCGTAAAAGCTAAGATCAAGGAATTATAAAAGCGAATTCATTTTGATACGTAAGGTCGGTTATCATCACTCCCTAGAGAATCATCCCCAGGCAATAAACAAAACCCCCAGGACAACTACTCATGGGGCGTACAGGAACACAAGACTTAAGGAACACTGTGAAAACTACCCCCAAAGGCTTTAGCCAGCAAAGACTCAATCGTCAGGCCAAAATCCAAGAAGTAACAACGGAAAAGTAGCCATTGGACCAGAACAGCTACGGAAAGACATCAAGGGACATATCTCGGCAATACTAGACTTAGAGGAGGCACCCAAACAATCCGTCTTGGATGCCAAACGACAGCAGGAGACAAACGGAGCCTAAATGTAAAAAATAACCCTAACCATTAAGCAGTAGGGTATGACGCCTCGAAACTGAGAACTAAAGGGGGTTACATCTCCCAGATAGCCAACGGAGTGAAACAAATGCGAAGCCTACTCAAGACTACAACAGACAGGTTATGGAAGAACAAAAGAAAGGACCTAAGGCATTAGAGCAGGTAAAGCAACCATAAACAATGGAGCCTAGAGGTAGAGAAACCGCCTCAGAAACAAGGCATAAGGAATAGGAATTATGGAACCAACTAATAGGAAAAGACAACAGGCAGTAACCACCCAAAACACCAAGCTTAGAAGGCAGGGTATGAACCCTAGGGCTTAACACGTGTATAATAAATGGTGACGCCTAAATATTAGAAAGGCATCGGTAGATTTAGGACCGGACACCACAGAACACGAAAACTAAGCGTAGCAACTACGAAATAAACCCTAAAACTGAACACTAACAAGTAGATAATAACAGAGGAAGTCTAAGCTCCAGATCAAAAACCTTAAACACTACCCCATAAAAAGAGGGAGGTACAGCCTATAAAATCTGACACCCAACGACAACTCTGAGAAAATAAAGAATAGGACGAGCTCCCTGGAGTCTAACTGAGGGGAGATACCACCGAATCCCTGAAGAATGACCACTAAATGCAGACCGATGAAGCATGACAAGTACGCCATATGACAAATTCAATAGGGAATAGGGCCTACTACATAAACCGAAAACTAAATCTGACAACCAAAACCAAATCCCCTGACGAATACAAAGAAAGATTAAAACATATCACCCTAGAAGGGAAGAATAAAAGCTGAAAATTAAATCCTGAACCTGACCCCCAAACCTCCCAACTGAGGCCTAGGACCTACCCACTACACGAAAAACCACCACAAAAAGCCGCCTAACCTCCAAGTCCACAAGAATGGGATATGAAGAACAGTGCATGAGAAGATCAGGACTAAACCAGAAACGTTAAACCAGGAGGCGTGGCCTCTAAGTGCCTGACAGGGCCAGCCTACCCCATGAAACCAGGAAGTGTCCATGTAGTCGATAAACATAAATGCCTAAACCCACAATCCTAGGGACTAAATCCTAAGAGTCCATGATGACCAACAACTCCCAGAGCTAAACCCCCCAAACTACACTCTGGAAAGAATCCCTTAAGCAGCAAAGATAAGAGCGAAAACCAATCTCCTAAGACTAAGAAATGAAACCAACACCGTAAAGATTAAAAACGAGCGCCTGAAACAAATCCCATAGATCCTCAAAAGTAAACCCTGACTCATACACCAAAAGTGCTCAACTCTACAACCTACCCAATAATCCCAAACCCACGAAAAGTACACGCAGACCCCTAACACTAAATCATGATCCCAAGAACATACCCCCTGACATCTGAAGCCTAGAAAATGAACCCTCAAACTCTAAGCCCTGATCCCTAAACCTAAACCTGAACCGTAAACCTAACTCCTAAACACCGAACCCGAAACCTAAACCCTCAATCCGGAAACGCTAAACCTAAATCTAGATCCTGAAGCCCGAACCCTGAACCCTAAACCCTGATAACGCCGGACCAACACCCTAAAAACTAACACCTAAACCCTAGAACCTGAACCGTAAACAATGAACCGAGAAGACTAAACCCTAAACCTAAACCCTGAAACTTGAACCCTAATCCCGAAACCCTAAAGCAGGACCATCAAAACTAAACGTAGACACTAGACCCTGAACCCTGAAAGCAGAATGCTAAAACACCAGAGCTAACCCATAAATCGAAACCATACACCTAAACCCTACACCCCAACCTCATCCAACGTCCCTTCCCCCCGTCAGTGACTTTATGGTCCCGGCTCGAAGGCAGTGCATTATTCCGGGCTGCAGAAGAATAGTTGCCCAATATTGGCATAAGTCCAAAACTTCACCCGAAACCATTAGCCTCTTGTCGCCTCTCAGTCCCAAATTCCTTCGCATGTGGTTCTCTCCCACAGTCAGCTATTATTGACTATACCCTACCCTTAACGGACTCTCCAATGTTGAGTTGCGACCTCTGATGATACGCCGCCGTCTAAAGATCACTCTCCATAATCCATACATACTCATCACCCCTAGAACAACGGTCAACGCGCCGCCTACACCCAAGCCAATAGCACCCCAGCCTCTGTTTTCCTCCGGTGAAGCTTGGAAGCTCTCAGATTTACCTCCTGTTGAGCTAATCCCATTGGCGAGGACTTGGCTTGAATCTGATTGGGTTTCTTCTTGCTGGATTGTTCTGCTGCTGCTAGCTGTACCTGTTGCACCGTCCCCTATGGACTCTTTCTCCTTTGTTGTCACATCCTCTCTCCCCGTATTGTGCTCCCCTCTGGATTTTGCTTCTTCCTGCGCTGGTATCGGCTGTTTCCCCTGATCGGCTTCTGTGCCGGTTGCTAGGGCGTGTTGGCTCCCAGCGGCTCCTTTGTATGGGGTTTCTACATCTTCTGGTGGGTTTGGAGCTTTAGTGTCAGTTTTTTCTCCGGCTCTTCCACTCGGGACTGGGGATGGAACTGCGGTTTCCTTGATTGCTTTTGGGGGTTGGCTGCTCTGGGAATTTGGTCTATAGGTTGAGCCCATGCTAACGAGTTCCTCTCTCGTTTCGGTGTTTGTGAGCCTCAACCTCTCTGGGCCTGTATGAGGGGTTGGCTCTATCAGTAGGCTCTCTCCTGTTTTCCAAATGTTAACTTTCCCTTTGTCTTGGGGATTTATCACGGCTCCACAATTCAGCTTGGTTCCCTCTATATAACACGGTGACAGTTGGTTTAGGTCCCAACCTTGTCTGTTAATTAACTTGCCAAGGGTCAGACCCCTTCTGTATTCACAACATGTTGATACGGCATATGCTACAGTCAAGAGAAACCCCAATCCATCTAATCTTTTCCCTTCGTTTTGCTCCACGTCGATAACCCCGTCCAGAAACTCATCATGTGACGTGGCATTCTTTCTGCTTCCTCGCTCGTCAAGTCTTTTTAAATCTATCTTCACAGCTCTATACACGTCGCCACACCTTTTCCTCAGTTGGCTATCTCTGTTTTTAGTTTGATCCTCATCAGTTAACATCGCTGCTACTATACACATTATGCTCGAGATTAGCCTTTGTAACTTGGCCGTGCTTCCCCAGTAAGAGCCCGCCCCATCCTTTATTATGCCGCTCCAGTTACCCTTCTTCCATACGGTCCGTTGCTGGTCTAGAGTTTGTATAGCTATCTCTTGGACCTCTAAGACGTTATCCATTATACAATCCAGAGCTGCCTTCCATTGGTAGTTCTCGCTCTCCTTGTTCTGGACAGTTCTGTAGACGGCTTCTGGGGTCTTGCCTATCTCTTCCCATTTGGGACCATTATACTCTCGGTCTATGACTCTCCCAATTCTTCCCAAAAAGCCACTTTTGGCTCCTGGGTCCGCGTTAACCTGCTGGTAACAATACCTCGCTTCTTTTCCCTCACAGGTCCTGACGCTGCTGTAGGGGTTCCTGCCTTCATACCAACTGTTGGCTCGTTTCAGCTTCAACTCCTCCATTGTGATTTCATGAGTCAACTAACCTAACCCTTGATTGTCGTGGCTCCATATTTCTTATTCTAAACTTTTCTTCCCTGAAATCGGGCTTCCTCGGGGAGGGCCTCTCCGACTGGGCGGAGAGTTGCCACTCCCCTCGTGGTCAAGTCCCTCCGCCCCCTCATGGTCTTCTGTTTTACTCTCCATTGCCTCCGTAATCTCTCCTTCGCTTTTTGGGGGCACTCGGCCCCCTGGGTTCACTATGTTGGGCCTCTCTTGAATTTCCTTATGTTCTGGTCCACTAAGTCCGGCTTCGGCTGGGGAGTCTCTTCTATCTTCCTTGACATGACCTCTGGACTTCTGACGCTCCCTGGGCTTCTGTCGCCTTGAAGACAAGACCTGCCCCCCGTCTTCTTTTTTTATCATATCAGCCCTACATGTGGTTGGTTGTTACATAGGTGATTCGTTCCCCTGTTCCCTAAAGATTCCTCGCTGCTCCCACTCCCCTGTCGCGCCCCTATTGGCTCCAGTCGGTAGTTTGAGAAGACGTCTTCCACTTCCTCGCTCCCTCTCTTTTGTCCATCCATCCTCCCTACGTCCGTTTGGGAAGCGGGCTTAGGACTCCTGGGGGTTTTTCTGTTCAGATCCTTCATGGACTTATCCTCTTCTTCCTTTTGTTTGTGGAAGGGGCTCCCTTTGGTCCCTCCCCCCAGATTATCCCTTCCTTTGGTTCCGGTGCTTTGTGTTTCCTCCGAGGTCTTTTGCATGTCGATGCCTAGTCCTTATGGCCCTTGTTGGATTTCCACGGTTTCCTTTTGTCAGTTGTTCAATGACGAAGCTAATGTTCCCTATCGTGTTTCTTTCTCCCTGCTCTGTTACTTGATGCTCCCAGAAGGGTCCTCGGCCTTCCCTGTTTCGCGGGGTGTTTTTCCTGCGGTGATTTTCTCCCTGAGTTGATATCTCAGCGGCCAAACTTTCGTGTCTCCGAAGTCACCTGAACTTCCTGGTCCCCTGGGGCGGTATCCTTTTCTGTTGTCTACGCTCAACTCGTATGTCCTTACCTGGCGTGGGACCCTTCAACTCTTCTCTGGAGATGTCCAATCTTCAGGGCACGGCTCCTAGTATTTTGGTGTCTTTTATCTGCTTTTATCACATAAACCTCTCTTCATTTTCGATTTTCCTGGGGCCACATTGCAGCCGTGTAGTTGCCATTTTACTCCTGTTCTTTCCTTCTGCTACCGGCTAGCAACTCCTCTACGTTCGTTTAGTGGGGAGGGGAATCTTCTGCACTTTGGTGTCGTTTTCCTGTCTGGACTCCGCCACTTAGTTCTCATCTGTTGAACCTATCCCTCTGTTTTCAGTCATGCTTCATCATCTTTGTCCTCCCCTTAAATCTTTCTCCCAGGCAGATCTTTAGAGGCCTATTCATTCCTCCTTAGTTTCTTCCCTCATACTCAATGCCCCGGTCATATTAATCTATCCTAGTCAGCTGTGTTGTTTTATTCCTTGGGTGCTGACATCAACGTGGAATGGTATTCTGGATTTTGCCCTCCTGACTCAGACCTTCTGCCCGCGCACCTGGCGATTAATGCTTCCTGTATGTTTGCTCTCCCTTGGATTGGGTTCGGCTTCTTTGCCTTATCTTGTCCTGTACTCATCATCATCGGAAAATTCGTGCTTTGCCTGTTATTGAATCTCTTTTCATCTGTTGCCTGTCCTATCCCGCTGTCCTCTCCATATCCAATCGTTAACCCAACCCTGCCTTCCCTTTCTGATGTGGACCCTTTCCGTACGTTTAGTGGTCGTTCTGGGTCCCTTGGATCGACTGTTTCCCCATACTATTTCGTCCATACTGGTGGTTGTGCTAATCTTTGATTTGGGTTTGCTGTTGTTTATTTGATCTTGGGCGGTTCTCTTCGTTCGAAGTTTTCCCTGAGGCTTCTTTCCTTCGTATTTAGGACTCCTATTTCTTCTCTTTTTTGTTCGAATTTGGAAGGGGGTTGCCCTCCTTGTCTCTTCGACTTGGCGGCGTGTTAGGTTCTCCTGAGAAGTGAGTCCTTGAGAATTGTTTTACGTTTCTGTATGATCTGGCGCCTGAATCTCTTCCTGAGAATTCGTTCTGTAGTTTTGCCACAGGGCGAGATTGTCCCGTTCGCCTGGGTCATGAACCTTGGCTATTTTTTCCCGCTGACCATCTGTCCTTTTTTATTCACCCTTTCTATTGGTGTCTATGGTCGCAGCTTTGTTGATGGAGTTTTTTCGTCTTCAGTTTCAGTCCGTTTATCATAATTATTGCGGTATGGGCTCGTTGTGTTATCATCTTCTTTATCCTTATTTTAATTGGTTCATCTGCGGGCGGGGGCTGTGTTAGTTGGTCTCCGGTCGCTTGTTCCTGGAAAGGCACTACATTTTTCCAATCTATTTCTTCCATCTGAGACTTCATCAGCTTCTTGGATCCTTCGTAGGTGTTCTTGCTTTGATAGTTGTCATTTGTCTGCCGCTTAGTTCCTTCTTTGCTTGGTTTTAAATTGCTTCTTTATTCATCGCTTGTATGACTTGTGCATCTTCAGTTATGTTCACTAAATTGACGTAATAGGTGTCTTATAATAGGGAGTGGTGACGTGGGTGTACTGTTTCCTTAAGATCCTTAGACTGCCCTTAATCTGATTCAGTCTCCTGTCTGCCTTATTTTTTGAACAATCCTTCTACCTGGACTGAGCTTTAGTCACATCTTGGGTAGTTTTGTCTAATAGCCTTGGATTTGATCCGTGGGGGCTTTTTCTTGGAACCTCGTCCTTATCTATTATTTTGACTTAAGAAAGTTTGTTCCTTGGATTCCTTTTGGGAAGTGGAGGGGACAATTGGTCCTTGGCCTTTGTCTTCAGGGGGGAGGGTCCCTTGAGCTCAGTGGTTGAGTTTTTCGTTCGGTTTTATCCGTCTGGAGTAATGTTGTTCTCCATACTTCTCGGCTTTAGTCAGATCCTTACTTGGATCTCTTCCTAGGTGCTCTTTTTTCTTTGGGAGTTTACTTGTATTTGGTTATATTGGCTTGGGGGATAATCTACCACTTGTCAACATATGCCCTCTGTGAAATGATCCTTATGCCCGTCCTGTGTTCTTATCGGTAGCTTGGTGGTGAAAGGATTATTCATCTGCTCCCTTCTTTTGATTTCTCCTGTGTTTAGGTCCCCCTTGTTGTGGCTCTTCCGCTTTATATCATCCGCCTTTGATTTGGGGGGCTGGTGGGGCGAATCTGGATTGGGGTGGATCCGAGGGGCCTCCCCTGTTGGGCTTGCTCCTATGTTACCTTTCCCGCCTGGTACATAGTCCTGGGTTGTTCTGCTGTTGGGTGGACGTATTGCTTCATTCAATTCTTTAGGTGTCTTGGCCTTCTTCTGTTGTTTCAGATGTTTCGGCTTAATTTATTTTTCCACCCGATCTGTTCTATCTAGTCGGCTTTTTCTGAAGGGATGGAGGACCTATGTGAGTTGGACTATTAGCGGATATGCTCCTTCTGCTTTTCCTCCTTTTAGTCTATCCTTTTGTGTGGTTCTCGTTAATAATTTGGTAGCTAGGTTCGTTGTACTTTTGCGTCGTTCGCTGCTTTGGGGTTGTTGTGTTTTGATTTGATTCACTCATTTAGTTATCTTCTCCTATATTCGTCCTCTTATATCTTTCCTGAGTTTTTGGACGTTGTTGGATCCTCTTTCGATTGGGGGTCTTGTTTTAAACGTTGGCTGGGCTTCCTTTCTCTTGGGTTCATTTTTAATTTTATCCTGCTGGTCTGGATTTTTCTTTGCCCCTCCTCTTTTTGGTTGTGGGTTTGTGTTTCCTTTCTCTTAGACTTATTAGTTGCTGGGTGCTCGGTTTAGAGATAGTTCTTGCTTCACGTATCCTGGGCTCTCGCCTTTTTTTCATTGAGTTAGTTAACCCCTTGGGGAGATTTTTGCTGTGGTGAACCTTTATAAGGAATTAGATCGGGTTCTCTATTTTGTGATGCTCATGGGCCTAATGATGCATTACCTTTCAAGCTCCTTGTTTGAGAGCTCTTATCTCTGATTAGGAACTAAGGAGATACCCTAACCTTGTTTTATTTGGGTCCTATGTGTTGCATCTTAGGCGGAGGTGTGTGTCGGGCCTGTTGGGCTTTCGTTTTCTATTCTCTCTCACTGACTTATTAATGTGATTCCTGTTTCTTGGGATAAGAGGGGTACTGGAATTGTTACTACTGGCTGATTATTTTGGAGTGTTGTGCGTGGGAGGGTAATTAGTGGATCGCTGCTTTGTGTCCGTTTATGATTATCCTTCCTGCTTTTTGTGATTTTTTTCCTGGCTCTTCCTATACACGCCGTGTATTATTGACTCCATCCTTGGATTTTTTGGTTGTGAGATTTTTCCTTTCTTTCTCTTTTTGATTTATTGAACCTAGTGATGGTATCAGAGATATGTTGGAATGGACTTGTTGGTGTAGTGGTTTTGTTTATTATTAGTTGGTTCCGTTAGGTTGGGTTAAATTTGTTAGATGTGTTGTATTATCAGATAATTTTTATTGGGTACTTTGGTTCTAGGGTTGGAAATTTGTCGATTTTGCTATTGAGATATCAGCTGGTGGGTTGGTGAGTTCAGTTTCCTTTTCGCTCCCCCTTCCCTTTGTCTGCCGTTAGCTTTTCACTGGTTACTCAGATCTGTTCAGCTTTGATTCGTTTCATAGCTATCTTGATGATCCTTTTGTTTCTTCGGACCAGTTGTGATTTAATGATTATTTTTTTGTTGCTGGGGGGAATGCTTGGATGTTCATATCGTTATCTGGGGCACCTGTTTTGGCCTCCCTGTTTGGGGGCTTTGTTTATGCCATAATTAGAAGCTCGGTGAATTTTTCTCCGCCTGAGGATTCTTCGGTTATTATTTCTAGTTGTTGGGGATTTTTAGGTAGTTTTCTGGATTCTTGTTTTTAGGAGATGAAGGGATCATCATCTGGGTGGCTTCTCTATTATTTCGAACCTGCGGTCTTGTAGTAGGAATTCTTCCTTTTCCTTAGTGGGTTAGGGTGTGGTCGTATTAGGTTTCTTTTGGCATCTGTTGCTAGGTATTCTACGCCGATGTCTTCTTTTTTATCCTTTGGTGTTAGTCTCTTTTTTGTATCTGTTGCTTCTACCTAAGACGCCTGTGTTATTCCATTTTTCATATTAACTTCTCTCGGGAAGGTGGGTTTAGAGTTTTTGACATTCCTTTCTTTTCGGTTTCTTGGCTGACTTTTTTAGTTCTTTTCTCTTTATTCTGGGATTCTTGCCTTTCGTATCTTTGGATTGTTTTTGGTTCCTTCTCCTCGGGTTCAGTTGTGGCGGGTCGGCTCCTTCGTTAGCTCTGTGGTTTTGTAGGGAGTTCACTTCTTCGGTTGGGTGGGCAAAGGGAGCTGGGTTTCGTTCATTTGTGTCTGAAATTGATTGTGATAATTTTGTGCTTCGTCAGTTTCTGCTATGCAATTCCTAATTCCTCCGCTGGGGTGCCCCTGGGGACGTCCCTCTGTCTCCTTTCTATTGGAGCATCTGAATGTCAGTTTGATTGATCTGTTATAGTTAGTGTACCTGGGGGATTTTGGGAAATCTTTCTGTATTTTGTGGGTGTTAATTAGTTGGGGTTGTTGGTTTACGTGGGTTTTTGAGAGATATTGGATCTTGAGTGATTAATACTTAGGGGGCCATTTTCTGCTGTTGCTTAGAGTAGGGGGATCCGGTATGGCTCAGGAGGGATTTCGGCTTGATTCCTGTTTTTTTGGAGTTTGTTGTGGTCATTTCACTCCCTTTGGGGGATTAGTAAATTTCCAGTTTATGTTTGTAATTTTTGTTGTAACTCCCTTTATATCAGATTCCAGGGTAGTTTTTCTGCCTGTTTCAATTATATGTCTTGCCTTTTATACTAGGCTGAGAGATTAGAGGGGCTCATATTTCTTTTGGCAAGCTATGTGAGGTTATGGATAGTCGAGTTGCTCCTGGGGTTTGGTTTCCATTTGGCTACTTGTAATTCATCTGATATGATACGATTTTTTGGGGATTGTTGTATTTTTCTTCCTAGAGTTCATCATTTGTCTTGGGGGGACTAGTTTGGGATTTTGAGGTTTCTTCATGAGATTTATCGGCTGGTTTTTCTCTTGGTTTCTTCTCGATTTGGAAATATACGATCTCTTGTTTAATCCATTGCTCAATCTTCCTTCTCTTGACTTAAGGGATTGGGGGATTAACTCGTAGCTTGGGAGAGTTGGATTTATTTGTCCCATTGTTGTTCTTCTGGATATTTCTTTCCTTGGGGATTAGAGATACACGCAGTTGGTTTTCTCGTTGGTTGATTTATAGTTTACTGTCCTCCGGTTGCATCCTTTAGGACTAATTCTTAGGTCGGAGTCGGACTCAGGAGGATTTTATTGTTGTATTTCTCTCTGGGTAGATTTCGCATAACGTATCTATATTGTCTTCTGTTCTTTCGTCTGATTCTTGTGTTTAATGATTAGATTTGGTTGGTCTTGTTTCTTTTCCTTTAGTTTGAATTTATTTTAAAGATTAATTTTGTCACCTTTGTAGTCTTATTTTGATATATTAAATTGGGCCGTGATTTTTCATTATATATTATAGGAAAAGTTCATATACTTCTAAGTCTGTTCTTTGGATAACATGTGTGGGTGCAAACTTGTTTTTCTATTTTTCCTTCTTTTTGTAATAGAAATCCTAATCAATGTTCTAACTCCACCCGGTTGTCATGTTTATTCTAAGAATTTATAGATAGGATCTCTTAGGTATGGTAGTTGACTATGAGCTGATACGGAGAGTTATTGACTAAATATGGGTGCTTCTATTTCTTCTTATACTTCATAATTGGCTGGATAGTTATTGTGTCTCTTTTTCTCCTGTTGCTGCTTTATAATCTTTTTTATTATTATCATCTTATTAATCTAATCACTGGAGGTTATCATTTGGTAGTTAGGTGGGGCCGTTTGGAATTATTAGTCACTTCTTCCAGATTAGGAAAGAAACGTAGGGAATTTCTTTCTTTGAGGAATTAATTCCAGCCTTTCACTGTTTATTATTGTTTATTCATGTCTTAGAATATGTAGCGCGCCGTAGGTATATTTTTCGTTTGAGTCGGGGGTTCTAGTTCTCCCGTTTGTTCTTTTTTTCTAATACTCTTAATTTGTTTATTATAGATTTGTTCTTGTAGAGGATAGGGGATATACTATTAGTCCCACTGATAAAGAAGTATTTATACCTTCCATAATGATATTATTATTTAATACGGAGTTGTTCATAGGAAATATATCCCGCGTTTCTTAGTTCAGGGACTAGAATAGGACTTATAATTGTAAATATCTTTTCTTTTCATTTTTGGGGATTAAATATTAGCTGAAATAGAAACAGGAATAATCAAATAATGGGAATAAATGCAATCTTCCACTATGCTGATAAAAGATTCCTGGATTTCTGTTATATGACCTTTTTTCCGGTAATCAATGTTAATGAATAAGGGTGTCTGCAGGTAAGATACTCCCGCTCTGATCTTCTAAAGTTAAATTGACAGAAGAAGATGGGAAGCTGAGAGGAAATATGAAAGATACTGTTCCTTAAGACGTGTAAAAAATAAATGAAAAAATTCTATACCCTCGGAACATGCCCAGAGTTATCTTTTAGCTTAATTCATAGATATGTTAATCC